TTTATTTCGTTCCTTGTGTCCCTATCACTGATCCAGCGAAGATGTCAACCCGGATCCGATTCTAACCTGGCCTATGCTGGACGGAACACTATAGTAATTGGCACTGTATTCATACCATAGACTCGATTGCTGACCGCAGACCCACTGAATGGGTAGCGATGATGAGGTTAGTGCTATGGGATGACTTGTGACGACAAATGTCACAATCTCCACTCAATCACGGCTTCATTTTTGGCTACCCACCGTTGCTGATATGATTCACCGGAATTTTCCGACATCCAGCTAATTCGGTTGCATTTGCCTGTGATTACCCGATTCTCATCCCTGTGTCCTTGTTGTTTCTATGGGAGTTGTATTTTGGATAGTACAACTCGATCTTGTCCCACTGTCCTCACATGGCCATGTCAACTTCGTACATATTTCAGACAAATTGTGTGTGATGCAAGAAAGGGAACCCTTCAAAAATGTAGCGGTATCATTTTTTGCTCTCGTCTAAAATGTGATAATGACGATGAAATGTCAAATTCCAGTCCTCAACTATCCATCTTAAATGATCGAACAACTATATTCGTTAAACGTTTTACCCAAGCCTCACTTATTTCGACCTCCCCACATACGTGTTCCCGAAGGGCAGAAAGTTCTTACTGGATGCTTTTGTCTCCTCGGTCACGTTTATCCTTATTTATTTTATACTACTTGAGCCTTCATTTTTTTCTCCTGTTATCCTTCTCGGTTTATTTCCCATGAACCATAAGCCCAAATCCGAATCACTTAAACTGTTCTCGGTATATGCCCCTATTCCTCGTGAGCATCTGGCCCAGTGTTTTGTAGTTCATCACTGTCACGCTTGTGAAAAAGTCTCACCGAAAGCTGCATGTGACTGTTCTCATCCGTTATACCCACGATCTTGTCCGATGCCTTTCATCCTCATTCATCCGTTCTCACTGGAGGCATATGAAGATCTACACTGAAGCTTTTAGACATTTTGCTGTCTCATATTTAGATAGATTTCTTACGAACACAGAACACGTTGCATCTGATCTGCGCAAGATTTTATGCTAAAAGTCATTATCATTGATTTATTTTTGTTCTCTTTCTGTTCTTGCTAACTTTCTGTTCAGTGTTGTCCATTAAGTGGTGCAAAGTAATTATCTGGCTCCTTGGTATTCCTCCGTTGATTACTTGACTTGATTTGGTTATTGGAACGACCGGAGGTCAGATACTAACCTCCATACTATTTAATTCGGGTTGATAGCGCCGAACTCCCACTAAAACCGTATGCGTGTTTGAGTACATGTGCACCCTCATGGGTCAAATATTATTCAGCTGATGCAACCCTTTGTTCACTGTATTGCGCATACACACAGATCACACGGGCATTGCGAGCATTTTGTGACTCAACCGAATAGGATTACCCATGCAACTGGTAGTTGTGAAGTTGATATTACACAAACGCTGATTCCCACGTCTTGTGAAAAAGGCGAACTGTGGACAAAAAGGAAAAATCTTTTCATTTTAAGGTGCACTGGCTTGTTTCACTGATCGAATATACTGAATAAATTACTGTGGATGCTGAAATGAGTTCAGCGAATGCAATTTATTTACGCAATGGTCTAAGACGCCTATGGTGCCACACAGGTAAGGCACAGTTACGGATCCATACAATAGCTTTCAGATC